CTTGCTGGGTTCATTGGTGGGTGATCATTCCATCAGCTGTAATAGGAGCACAGTAGATGGCACATGTTTGGGAGAAAGGTGTGCTTTGCTTAGGATGTGTTGAGTTTGAGGCATTGGTGGGGCATGAATTAGGGGCCTCCAGGAGGCAGAAGAGGTCTTGGGGCCCTAGCTGGTTTTGCTCAGTGGATAAAGCATCAGCCTTCGGACAGAAGGGTCCCAGGTTTGATTCCTGGTCAGGGCACATGCCGGGGTTGCCTGCTTGATCCCCAGTAGTGGGTGTGCAGGAGGCAGCCGATTAATAATTCTCTCTCACCATTGATGTTTCTATCTCCTTCCTTCTTCTCTGAAGTCAATAAAAAATATATTAAACATTAAAAAAAAAGAGAGATCTCGGGTGGACATGATGAAGGTTTGGGAGGCACTGGCATATGCATGGGTAAGGTTATCTAGGAGGAGTGTGTAGGGCCTGGTAACGCCCCATTTAAGGGGTTGGCAGAGAAGGGGGAGACTGAGAAGAAAGGGCACTGCTAACGTTACAGTCTAACCAGTTGACTGGCTTAGCTTCTCATGGCGTGAGTCACTGGAGTATCCTGGGATGCCCCTGGGAAGGTATCCAGGGCAACAGAAGACACTAGAGAGGCCAGCCTGTTCTCCTTGACCACTGAATCCTAGCCCTGCTGACCTTGTCTTCACCCGACCTCTCTTCCCTAGATCCTTTCCCAACATAGTACAGACAGCTCTCCCCACTCCCAAATACCTCACCTATATAAGGAAATGTAAAGCAGGTGAAAAGAGCCAAATTAAAAGGCACTTTGGAGTCTGGGACCCCTCAGACTCCTGGTGGCACCTTCTAGGAGGTTCCAAGGGAAGGGACAGGGGTCAGGGGACATTCCAACTAGGTTGGAGACACAGGGATCCTAGTTTGGGTTGCAGCCCAAGAAAACCCCGCCTTACCCTTGAGAATATGACCTGCCTCCCTCCTCTCCATGAGGATCCATCAGATTTTGAAGAACTGTGATGGGAACTCTTCCTCTACCAGCTTAGTGCAGACCCTCTACCACCTTGAACTTGGGATAGTATAATGGGTTCTTTTTTTTTTTTAATATATTTTTTATTGATTTTTTACAGAGAGGAAGGGAGAGGGATAGAGAGTTAGAAACATCGATGAGAAACATCGATCAGCTGCCTCCTGCACACCCCCTACTGGGGATGTGCCCGCAACCAAGGTACATGCCCTTGACTGGAATCGAACCCGGGACCCTTGAGTCCGCAGGCCGACACTCTATCCACTGAGCCAAACCGGTTAGGGCTATAATGGGATCTTATTCTATTTCACCCCCAACTGGTCTAACACTAACTAGACATACTACTACTATACAATTCTGGTGCTGACCGTCAGGAGTTGGCACCAGATCCCACAAGTTAAGGACTCAGTTTTCTATGAGACTGCCCTGATTTCAGATGCCAGCCATAAATCTCATGGGTCCCCAGGCTGTCCACATATTCACGGGTTCCTGCCATCCTCACAGGTTCAGTAATTGCAAGAATAACTCTCAGGACTCAGGGAAGTGCTGTACTCATGATTACCATTTCATTGCAAGAATATACATCGGCTTCTGGAAGGGTCCCAGAAGCACATCGTCCACGCCCTTTTCCCCGCGAGTAAGGGTGCTCCACTCTCCTGGCACATTGATGTGTTTACCAACCAAGAAGTTTCCCTGAGCTTCAGTGTCCAGAATTTTTATTGGGGTTTTATTGGTTTGTTAACAAGTGGCTCCAAGTGTGCTAACCCTTTAATCACGTGGCTGTTTTTTCTGATGTGGCCTTCCCCCATCCTGACTTTTTCCTTTGCATAAACTATCTAATCATCTCATTAGTATAAACTATCAGGGCCCATTATGAGTAACAAAGAACTGCTATTGCTAGCTAGGGAAAGTCCAAGGATTTAGAATTTCCCTCCTAGGAACCATAGACAGTCAAGTTCTTTATTGTACAACATTTCTTAACTTTTCTATTATTTTTATTTTTATTGATTTTTTTTAGAGAGACATTGATTTGTTGTTCCACTTATATATGTATTCATTGATTGCTTCTTTTTTATTTTTACTTTATTGATTAATTATATAGGTTTCAGGTATACAATTCTATAATACATCATCTGTATATTGTATTTGTGTTTACCACCCTAAGTCGAGTCTCCTTCTATCACTATTTATCCCCTCTTTACCCACTTCTAACTCCTCCTACCCTCCCGCAATCACCAACTGTTGTCTGTGTCCATGAGAATTTTTTTTCTTTGCTTGATCCCTTCACTCATCTCACCCAGCCCCCAACTACTCTCCCCACTGAAACTGTCAGTCTGTTGTCTGTGTCTATGAGTCTGTCTCCATTTTGTTAGTTTATTTTGCTCGTCAGTTTCTGCATATAAATGAAATCTTATGGTACTTGTCTCTCTCTGACTGGCTTGTTTCACTCAGCATAATAATTTCCAGGTCCATCCATGCTGTCCCAAAAGGTAAGATTTCCTTTGTTTTCACAGCTGAGTAGTATTCCATTGTGTAAATGCACCACATCATTTTTACCAACTCATCTACTGATGGGCACTTGGGCTGCTTCCAAATCTTGACTATTGTAAATAATGTTGCAATGAAAATAGGGGTGTACATATTCTTTTGAATTAGTGTTTCAGATTTCTTTGGATAAATTCCTGGAAGTGGAATCACAGGGTCATATGCAGTTCCATTTTTAATTTATTTTTATTATTTTTAAATATACTTTTATTGATTTCAGAGAAGGGAGAAAGAGACAGAGACATCAATGATAAGAGAGAGTCATCGATCAGCTGCTTCCTGTACGTCCCCACTGGGGATCGAGCCCCTGCAACCCGGGCATGTACCCTTGACCAGAATTGAACCTGGGACCCTTCAGTCCGCAGGCCAATGCTCTATCCACTGAGCAAACTAGCTAGGGCTGTTGACATTGATAACAGTCATTCTGACAGGTGTAAAGTGATACCTCATTGTGGTTTTAATTTGCATTTTTCTGGTGATTAGTGAAGTTGAGCATCTTTTCATATGTCTATTGGCCATCTATCCTCTTTGGAGAAGTGTCTGTTCAGGTCCTTTGCCCATTTTCTTTTCTTTTTTTTTTTTTTTTAGGTCCCTCCCATGCCCGTGCCTGTGCCCGTGACCCTGCCTATTTTTAAACCGTTTGAGCTCGGCGAGCCAGCATTTTGAAAAACCCTAACTTAACTCTGGTGCCATGTCACATATAGAAATTTTTTGATATTTGCAACCATAGTAAAAAAAAGACTTACATTTTTGATATTTATTTTATACATTTAAATGCCATTTAACAAAGAAAAATCAACCAAAAAAATTCACCTCTGACACGCGTGTCATAGGTTCGCCATCACTGCGGCTGTGCCGAGCCGGCACGGCCATGGGTGAACCTGAGAGGGGGCGGTGAAGGATTTAGAACTGACAGACAAGAGAAGAAAGCTGGGTCTAGGTGGGATGCTGATTCTCTGATGGAGAGACAGTGCTGCAGCCACAGGCCGAGTCTTTATTTTATAGCCAGACTCCATGAGCCAAAGTAAGGGCATGGTTACAACAGTCTCCCATTCGAATCTACTCAATTACATGCACCTGATCAAGCTTTGTTTACTTGCTGCACCTCCCGCAGCCCATATCACTTAGCCACGTGGGACCACAGGTTCTGATCATAAGGTCAAGCTTACAACTATAGCCTTTGGATATAACTGTGCTGGGAGGGCTTGCACGTGGCTTTGCCAGGAGAGGATCGTGCCCTCTCATTAGTCCCAGGCTGACCCTGTCCAAACGCTGTGGCCGCTCTCCACACTAGGCTACCCTGACTTCTGAGTCCACAGTTCCCTGTATACCTCCGGCGAGGCAGGGGTTGTGTCCTAATTGCCTTTGTGTCTCCAGCCCTTCACACAGGGCCTGGCAGAGTAAGGTACCAAAATACATGTGCCCTCTGGCCCGTGTTACACAAAATTATTCGGGTCCAGAGGTATGGTCGGCACTTGGAATCCCGTGGGAGGGATGGCCGTAGGATGAGGATCCTCTTGCTCAGCTCCTGGCTGAGGGCCGGAGCGGTCCCCTGGGTTCCAGAACCACGTAGTTAATCACTCAGTGCACAATGGGGCTGTTATGCTCCAAACACTCGGCCAGGTGTTGGGAATCACAGATGAATGGAGAGATTAGCTGGGAGGATGGAACTGAGCAGAAACTTAACGACAAACCTGCGCAAGGAAAACAACAGGGGGCTTAACCTGTGCTTCGGTCCAGGTGTGCGGGGGCGGTATGGGCCCTCCTCCCCACGCCCTCCGAGGCGAAGATTTGAGAAGGATTAGCTATATAATCCCCGGGCTGGGTCTCGCTTCCAGGAAGGGGTGAGGCCCGAATCCTAATGCGGCCCCACACCTGGCCCCATTGTTCCCTTACTTCCCTGCAACCGATCCACCGCTCCGGGAATTGGCGATCTGGCGGCTCATTCGCTGTCCAGAGGCCTTTGGAGGGGCCTGGGTGGCGGAGAACCGTCTCCCCGGACCCAGACACCGGTCACTCGGACGAGCAACGACCCCTCCGGAGGGTCTCAGAGACATTCTTAGACCGTGCGGCCCCTTTAAGAGGAGGAGACGGGCGGGCGCGAGTTAGTCGCCACCGGACGTCACAAACCCAGGACCGGGTCTCAGCTCCCAGGCGGCCCCGCGGCCCCGCCCGC